CGGCAACAACCTGCGCTGCTCGTTTGTGGTTCAGCCTCCCTCCTCCTCCAGCCTCCGCCTCACTTTCCTCGAGATGAACATCGAGCAGAACTTCGATCGCTTGTACCTCGGACAGTGTATCCCCCCCTCGTCCACCAGCCGTGCTCCCACCACAAGCCCAGCTCCAACAACCTCGTCTACCAGCCCAGCTCCTACTACCAGCCGTGCTCCCACCACAAGCCCAGCGCCTACTACCAGCCGTGCTCCCACCACAAGCCCAGCGCCTACTACCAGCCGTGCTCCCACCACAAGCCCAGTGCCTACTACCAGCCCAGCTCCTACCACCAGCCCAGCTCCTACCACCAGCCCAGCTCCCACTACAAGCCCAGCGCCTACTACCAGCCGTGCTCCCACCACAAGCCCAGCGCCTACTACCAGCCGTGCTCCCACCACCAGCCCAGCTCCTACTACCAGCCGTGCTGCCACCACAAGCCAAGCTCCTACTACCAGCCCAGCTCCTACTACGAGCCCAGCGCCTACGACGCCCCCGAGCTCGGGCATGACTTGCTCGATCATAAGCGGCAGCCCCTACTCAAGCACGTCGACGATACCGCTCATCACTTCCTCTACCAGCATCCTCAAGGTCTCCCTCACCTCCGATGCTCAAGCAAGCTTCCTTGCTCGCTGGGGCCCTGAGCCCTCCTACAACGCTGACGCCTGCGCCTCCCCCGCCGCCGTCGCCCTCCAAGCCGACTACGGCGGTCTCTCCGACGGGGTCGGGCTCTACAGCAACAGCGCCTCCTGCAGCTGGATCTTGGCTCCCGCCGGCGCCTCGAGCGTCACCCTCGTCTTCACCCAGCTGGACATGGAGTACGGCTACGACTACGTGTACGTCGACGAGTGCAGCGACGCCTCCTGCTCCTCCTCCACGCAGCTTGCGAGCCTGACGGGGTCGACGATGCCGGGGCCGCTTGTGAGCTCGACGGGGTACATGCGAGTGAGGATGTCGACGGACTACTCGGTGAGGCGAGAGGGCTTCAAGGCCATCTATGCGGGGTCGACGCGGGTGTACGACTGCAGCTGGGGAGGGACAGGGGCGATCGACAGCCTGCAGGGGATGGTGACGGATGGGCCAGGGAACTACCAGACGTCCACGACGTTCTCTTGGAGCATCGCTCCAGCGGGCACCTCCTCCGTCTCCTTCGTCTTCCATCAGTTTGACGTGGAGGCCGGCTGGGATACGCTGGCGATCGAGGAGTGCAGCAGCGGGAGGAGAGGGCTGAAACGGCCAACCTTGTCCTCCACAGCCATCGACAGGCAGACAGTCAGCGATGCCGCGAGCGAGAGACGCGGGGAGTCAGCCTGGTCGGATGTCACGACGACCTTGATAGATGTGTTTGGAGAGGTCGCGAAGAAAGCCAGTGAGCTGCTGTCAGGACACGTTTGAAGACGTAGATGTTGACATGCTAAGTTTGTTTTCTTGTAAATCATTTCATGATGCTTCCAGTCTCTTGCTTGTTTTCTCTCTCCTCCTCTCATCATGTCATTCTGACGTTGACCAGCGCTCAACCTCTTTCTCTGGCTCTGGCCGACAATACACATGACGAACGCCAGCAAATCTCTTCCCAAGGTAGCAGACAAGCCGCACCTGTTACATCGACTGTCAACTCTGATTCGATCCTCCTCCTCCCGCTTCTCCTCCTCCTCTGCCTTCTCCATCCTCCTCCTCTGTCTACTCAGCGATCTCGACTCATCCAGCCGTATCGTTGGTATCAACGGCCCCGCTGCAGTCTCTTCCTCCTGCTCTCTTCGATTCTCTTCTCCTTCCTCACCTGCGGGTCCAGGTAGGTCGTGTCCATGAGCGCCTACACGGGATCAGCAGGAGCACACTTGCTGCAGAGAGATGAAGCGAGGAGATGGCGGAGGAGCAGGAGAAGAACAAGCGAGACAGACACACTGAAGGAGGAGGCAGGCAAGGAAGCAGCAAGAGGGTCAGCAAGAGAAGGAGGAGCAGGTGGAGATGGAGGAGATGGAGGAGCTAGTGGAGCAGCAAGAGAAGGGGGAGCATGAGGAGGACGAGGAAGAGAAGCAGGCGATTGAGCAGAATAGCAGCTAGAGAAGGTGCTGGAGGAGAAGAAGGAGGATATGCGACCTCATCAGGATCGAAGAACTCTTTTGGCAGGGCTCGCTGCAGAGCTCCTACGAGAGCCTGCGGAGAAAGTGAGGAGGAGGAGAGAGAGCGGGGTTAGGGTGAGAGACTCAGGAAGAGGGAAGGAGACTGAGCACTGAGGTGACAAGACGAGAAGGGTGATCAAAACGGAGAACTAGCAATTGCATGTAAAACAGAATGGGCCTGTCTCAGGGGAGGTGGGGGCTCATGGGCAGAGAGAAAGAGAGGAGAAGAGCAGAGCAGAGCAGAGCAGAGGAGTGTTAGGAACGCTGGGGGCCTGGAAGCAAACAATGACCGTCGGACTCTCCCTTCCCGGCTCCTGGAACCCGGCTCTAGAGCAGGAACTGCACTGCAGGTCGGATCACTGGAACTTCCGTACGATTAGAGCTATGTCTAGCCGCTGAGCGAACAGATCTGTCGCAGTCCGATCAGGATCGGGCCAGTAACTAGTAAGTCAAGTCAGGCTGAGTCGCCGGTCACTCGGCCCGGAGTCACCGGCCGGCCCCGGACTCCGGAGCCCGGGCCCGGCGTTGAGACCGACTCTGTGTCGGAGCGTTCGCGTAGGTGACACTCTTGCAACCTACACATTTTAGTCACATGTGAATCCAGGTACTGAAATTTACTTATCTCCAACACCCACTAGTACGATCAGTGACCCCCGACAGAACTTGTCGTACCCCCCACCCCTCCACAGCCTCACCTGAACAACCCACCCTGATATAAGAGCATTGTTATCTGACATTAGGACCCCTTTATGCACTACCCTACCCTCTTGAATTGTCGTTCGCCCTTTCAAGCAGAGGTTTGTCGCAATGCTAAACGCCATGTGCTGCGAATGCGCTAGCAGAAAGTCGACAGGTCGGCGGTCGCTCATGTACAAACCAGGCTCTGTCCCGCTGAGCAACAGGTCCGAGTTCCAGCCCAGCTACTCTCCTCCTCTCGGCACTCCTCCTCGATGGTCAAAGGCGACTGGGCTACTTTCCAACAGAGACACCCTGCCACAAGGATCAAGGCCGCCTATCAAGACAGAAAGCTCGCAGAAGACTAGTAAGCCCATGCTGACCGAAGATGAAAGGGAGATGGAGAGGTGGAAGCATGAGTGTGAAAATCTGATTCAGACGACGCTAAGCAAATCTCCATGATTCCATCGCGTGTTTGTCAAAGTTCAAAGCTTGCAAGGTATGTGCTCATTCATTCGAAAATCTTTTCTCGAGGCCACAGACAGGTATGCAAACCATGATATTGCATAAAGAAATATTTTTCAATCTACGTGCGCGCTTGTGTTAGCATCCTTTCACAGAAACCCTTCTTTATGTTCTTATAAACATTGACACACCTTGATACAACCATCGCCTGTTTCTGCACGATTGATTGAAGCTGTCCAGGGATCACTTGAGGGCCATGATTGTTATTGTGTTTTGGTTTGAGAAATCTCTAACTTGCTGTTTTCCCTCAAGAATATGAGATGAAAGCTCTGATCGCACTGACTCAGTGAGCCGCCCCCCAACTAAGTTTGAAGTCACCGAGTCTCATGGGCCTCCAACGCGGTTACTCCTACACCCTGATCATCCTACGGGTCAAGCCTCCTCGACCTGATTGTCCTCGTACTGATTTTTAACTTCTTAACTTTGAGTCACAGAAAGAAACCTACAGGCTGCGAAGCCGCCGATCACTGAATCAATTTGGCTCTCAGGCTCGGTGCCATCGGCACTGGCGGCCGCTACGAGCCTGACTCGCCGCTCCGAGCCTCGGAGGCTCACTCTGGCCCCGAGAGCCAGGGACAAATACTGGAGGGAGGGTTCCGAGCGCCTCCAATCATTGAATACTGCAGCCACTGATTTCTGACTTGAGTAAAGAATCGCAGTTGTTGGAGTTTCAAACTAAGCCCGCCTCAGGTGTAAATCGGGATAAAAGAGAAGGCAGCACAAATAGCTGGTTGAAAGTAACGATGAAATAACCGTCGCAGTGTATTGCGGTCGGGGATGGTAGCGCTATGTAACAAGAAAGGGGAGTGAAGGACAGGAGCAGACTGAGAGGAGGGAGAGAGGAGAGGAGAGGAGAGAAGAGGAGAGGGATGAGAAGAGGGGGAGGTGTATGAAGAGTTGGTGTCAGGGAGGCAGGCACAAAGTGAGGAGCGTAACAGGCGAATTGAAGAGGGACGGAGGGGCGAGCAAGGGCGGGTTATACAAAGGCAGATCGAGCTCGAATGTACTGAGAGGGAGAAGGAACTGATTGACACAGAAGCCTTGAAGCAGTCAAGTCGATGTTCTGAAGCCACTGGGAATGATCGGGCTGCTGGCGCTGCTGTTCTCTTGAACTCGATGGTACTCATCCACTGAAGCTCCTCCTCGTATGCTCGACCAGTCGGAGTGCCTCTGGATCTCACGCTGCTGACTCCACCAGTATGATAACCGCTGAGTCCGGCGACTCGATGGTGGAGGAAACACCCGTGCCCGAGAGCGAAGGCAAGGACAACATGCCTCCACAAGGCACGACAGATTCAGATGGCATGCAGCATGAGGGAGAAGGAAGAAGAGCCTTGTTAAGACAACTGCTGAGAGAGCTTCCAAGAGATGTTGTTGTCACAGAGGTTGAGGAGTGGGCGGCAGAGAATGGCAGCGTCGTGAACAACCTTCGATCGAAGTTCCATGACGACGAGACGGGGCAGGCTTCCAGGCAGCCAGAGAATCGATTCCCTATCAGGGATCAGATCTTGGACGCTCTAAGGCGAAGGAACGCTGTGGTAGCGGACATCTGCTTTGACGTAATTGCAAGGCCACTCGAGAAGTCTTCGGTGAAGTCAGAAGACGCGCTCACAGATCGAGCATGGCGACAGTTCCTGTGCGCTGAGATGAGCTCCCTGCTGCAAGGGGGCTACCTGAAAGAAGTGTCCAAGCAGAGGAGGGGGCGTCTTTGGCGGCTGTGCGCAAGGACGAGCCTGTTGAGGGAGGACGCAGGGGAGCAGTACTATAAGCATCTGTGCGAGCTGCGGATGGAGGACCATGCGGACGTTGCGTCGGAGATCGGCAGAGACCTGGGGCGGTCGATGCCTGACATCCCCTACATCGCGAGCCCGGAGGGACAAGAGAGGCTACGGCGATGCCTGCTGGCATACTCAGCTCACAACAAGGAGCTGGGGTACAGCCAGGGGATGAACTTCATCGCGGCATTGCTTCTGCTGCACCTGGAGGATGACGAGGACACTTTCTGGACTCTCCACTCAGTGGTGACGCAGCTGATACCTGGGGGCCTCACTCGGACCCTGACGAGCTTCAAGATCTCTGTCCTCGTCCTCTGCGACCTTCTCAAGACCCTCGCACCCGACATCTACCTAGAGCTGGAGGGGCTGGAGATCGTCGTGTCTGAGCTGCTGGGGATGGTTTGCCCGCAGTGGTTCATTTCGCTCTTCGTGAACGCCCTCCCCCTTCCTCTCGTGGTCAAGCTCTGGGACATAATCTTTCTCGAGGGCAGCGTTGCCATCTTCCAGATCGGCATCGCGATCTTGTTCACTTACTCCAGGCACCTGCAGGAGACAGAGCAGCCGTTCCCAACCATGGCGCCAGATTATGTAGCTCGGCTCATGTCGTTCTGCAAGAGGATCAACGAGTCCGGGCAGAGGGAGATCCTGGAGAAGCGGAAGGACCTTGCTCGCACCCTCACCATGGAAAAAGTCGACAGTGTGTGGTCGCCGAACGAAGCTCGGGTGAACGAGGAGATCAGGCGAGAGAGGGAGGAGAGAGAGCTTCTGGCGTCCATTCGGCGAGAGGAGTTCCATGTCGCAAGGTACATCCTCGTCAACTTGACTAGCACGGCTCAACGCCTCCGCAACCTCTATCACTTCACTACACGATGCCCTCAGATCGTCCAGCACATGCAGAAGGCCAACCGGGTGGCTGAGACTCAAATCCAGCGGCTGACTGTCTACGTCAAGGGCTTGCCGGAGTCCAGCACCCCTCCTAAAGCAGAGCCCTTCGTCCCCTCTATCATCCTCGAACAGCACATCGGCTTCGACGCCTCTCAGCTGGCGGAGAAGCGGCTCAGCTGGACGGAGGAGGAGATCATAGTAGAGGCCTGCATCTTTGACGTCAGCAAGTTGCTGTCCAAGCTGCAGACGTTCGAGTCGAGGTTCTGCAGTGAGAGTGGGCAGGAAGACTACTCGGCCATGCTCAGCCTGAGGAGCAGGGGGAGTCTCGGGGAGCTTCAGGAAGCTCTCAAGAAGCTTGCGAGCGCTCTAAGAGCGTCTCTGCGCGAAGTTCCTTCAGCAAGGTACAGCATCCGAGTCCTTTCCCAGGCCCTTCCAGGGGCGCTGGCAATCGAGCCGCTCTACCATGCCAAGGAGTCGACGGAGGCTGAAGTGATGCCGGGGGACTGGAGCGGGCTGGTGCGTTGCCTCCTTACCATCAGGAGGCTGCGAGCTGAGAACGAACTTTGCGGGCTAAAGACCAGCCAGGGGACGAAGAGAGAGCTGGATGAGGCGGAGATGCACGTGGTGAACAAGCTGCAGGCTCACTTCGGACGGTCCAACTCGGCAGCAGTGATCGACGGGGTCGAGAGATGTCTGCAGGACTGGCACCTGAACCCGGACGAGGCCCTCTTCGTCCACCACCTCCCCTTCTCCCGCTCCTCCTCCTCCCCCCCAGCCCACAGCCACGTTGTCGTCGTGCTGGGAAGGAACCTGGATGTCATCCTGAGCCTCCTCCGCTTCCTCCCTCGGCTCAAGAACCTCCACCAGGCGTACGCTACGACTCTCTCCCACCTCCGCAATGCCCAGCTGCGCGTCACGACGACTGTGCAGGAGGCAGAAGTACGGAGGAGGCTGGACGTCATCTTGCAAGTGCTGACGGAGGTCAAGGCGAGGCTCTACCCCTCTAAGGAGCAGGCCTCGTCCCAGATGTCAGCAGATGACGTTTCTAAGGTAGTTTATCCCCTTCACTTCACTTCTTCACTGTCTCTCCTACTAACCCCTTCCATGTCCCGTCACTCACCTCGCGCTCCTCGCCTCTCCCCTTGACTCTCTTTCCCTCGCGCTCCTCGCCTCTCCCCTTGACTCTCTCTCCCTCTGCTGTTCTTCTTCCTTATCTCTTTTCGCTTTTGACATTTTCTTTCTCCAGATCCTACTGCAGCTTCACCTCACCGAGTGGCTCTGCCTCTCGCTACCTTCACCTTGGCTCAAACTACAGGTGGCTTACTACGCAAGTCCTGTCTAACCCTCACCCACCTTGTCCCGCACCCACTTCCCTCTCATTCCCCCATATCTCCCTCCCTCTCATTCCCTCTCATTCTCCTTTCCTTTCCCTTCTCTCCTCGCCTCGTCTTCTTATAACAATCTCTCGCAGAGTGACCTCGACGCCTACAGAAACAAGGCGAGAAATTTCGCCCAGCAGTGAAAGCGGGTGAGGGGTAGGAGGTGAATGAAACACATGTACTATACAACAAAATTTACAGAGCTCCAAAATTCGCTAACAAAGGGACAACGTCACACTTCACTTCCAGCCATGACAACGATGATCGAGGAGGGATGATGTTCCTTCATCTGCATGCCAGTCATTCGAAAAAACACGAGAATCTTCAAAATCGCGTGCAGGGAGGTGAAAAGCCTCAGATAATGTAGGTAAGTATTCAAATCCCCATCGGTTTCCCTCAGATCAGGTCTCCAAATGAATTTTTGTTCCTCATTGGCCAAGAACAGACACAAGGGGGGGTCTCTCTCCGCAAACTCACCTCGTCCCATCGTTGGGGAGTAATGTCCTTGCCGTGCAGCAGCAGCAGCCTGTAGCAAATGACCATGAGCGAACAGAAACTCTGCAACTCCCTCGATGAGATGTGTGGGGTATGGAGTTGTGATCTCAGAAACGTGTATCCTCAAGGGTATTCAGAAGAGGTGTCAGAAAAAGATACGATTGTTTCATCAGCGATCATTCCTTTCTTCCCATCCGTCTTCAATTACATCTTGCCTCACCTTCACTTCCTCCCCTCTGCCTCAGCTACCTCTCCTCCCCTCTCCTCTCTTCCCCTCTCCTCTCCTCTCCTCTCCTTCCCTCTCCTCCCCTCTCCTCCCCTCTCCTCTCCCCATCACCATCGCACGCCTCCCTGCATTACCTGATTGCACGTGCATGTTTCCTCTGGGAGGCCTCCACCCCACCTTCCTATTTAAAACACCCAACCCTAGACCCCACCACTGAAAACAAGGACCTACCCCAAAGGTAAATCTTGTCAGTACCCCATCAATTGAAATAGACCGGTGGTCTGTGTACCCCCACCCCTTAAAAGTACACCAAGGAACCTTTAAGCATCTACGACCACAAGAAATGTTTCCTTATATTTCCATTACTATAGCAGAAAATCAGTCAAATATCGTACACGTACCCTTGTGTGGGGGGAGCATACCAGGATTCCCATGCTTTGTATCTTCGACATGGCAACGTGGGGACGAAACTGGAGGACGAGGAGAGGAGAGGAGAGGAGAGAAGAGGAGAGGAGAGGGGAGAGGAGAGAGGAGAGGAGAGAGGAGAGGGGAGAGGGGAGAGGACTTGCTTTCGATGAGCACAACACAAGAACAGACAGTGGAAGGAAGGAGAGGGAGTGATGGTAGTGCAAGACAGAAAATCGAAATTGACAACTCTCGCAGGAGCAAATGAATCTTTCAAGCATCAAAAAGCAATAATCATGAAGATTTTCTCCCGGATATCCTGCTCCTTTGCCCTCCTCCTCTTCTCTCTCTGCGATTGCTTTCAACTTCACCTACCAGGCCAGCTCACTCCGAGCCTCAGATGCAGAAGAGCTGTCTGCAGGAGCATGAGCTTGGGAGACGACGATGCTTTTTCAGACGCAGGCTTCCAAGATTACATAGCAAAGGCTCCCCAGCGCCTGCTGACGCACATCCGGGAAGGGACGTCGGACGAGGAGAGCAGGACCATGATAAGGAAGTGCATAGCGGAGCTAGAGCAGCAGCAGATCTTTCCTTTCGACGTCAACTTCTTCAACTTCGCCGTGTCGGGGGATTGGCAGCTCCTGTACTCGACCTCTCGCCTCCTCTCGCCCGACACCAACCTCAAGGTCCTGCTCAACAGCCGAAATAAACTCCACACCCTCCTGCTGCTCTTGCTCCTGCTCCTCCTGCTCCTGCTCCTCCTCCTCCTCCTCCTCCTCCTCCTCCTCCTCCTCCTCCTCCTCCTCTTGGATTTTTCTTTCCTCGTTCCCTCCTGGTCTTCCCTTGTCTCTGATTCTTAAGCAGGTCAGAGACATCAGGAGCAGGATCGACGGAGGGGCGCGGGAGTTGGTGCATCAGGCAAGGTGGGAGTACCGGGAGGATGTGACGGGGCAGGCAGAAGAGTTGAGGTACTTGATGTGCTTGTTGGACCTTGAGGGGGGAGGCTGACGGGATCAAGGACGCGAGGCCTGTTCGAGGTGAAGTGCTCTTACAACATGAGTGAGGTAAGGCTCGATAGATGTGTAGGAGAACGAATAATGGGAGGGAGTGAAGGAGGGAGGCAGCAGGCAGGGAGCGAGAAAGTTGCAAGCGAGAGGGGGGGAGGGGGATGGAAGAGGAAGCGAAAGGGAGAAAGGAGGAGGAAGGGAGAGAGGAGCGCATGGACGTGATGCAGGAGGATGTTTTCCTCATTGTTTGCTTCCAGGCCCCCAGCGTTCCCACCCGCATGATCATCTCAGTGGAAGAGCTTCGACTGACTCCTGAGCCTCTCAACAGACCTCCAAAGAACCCTGAAGTACCTCCTCCTCTCTTCTCTTGCTCGCCTCCTTTCTCCCCTCTCCTCCTCTCTCCTCCTCTCTCCTCCCCTCTCCTCCTATCTTTCTCTTCCTCCGAGCCCCCCTCTGCTTTACATGCATTTGCTAGTTCTCCTTTTTAATCTCCCTCCTCGTCTTGTAGTCTCATCCTCGTCCTCCTCTCCCTCGTTTCATTCCCCTCCTCTCCCTCTCAGTCGTCTGCTCAGTCTCCTTCCCTCTTCCTCTCTCACCCTAACCCCGCTCTCTCTCTCCCTCCTCACTTTCTCTGCAGGCTCTCGTAGGAGCTCTGCAGCGAGCCCTGCCGAAAGAGTTCTTCGATCCTGATGAGGTCGCAAACCCTCCTTCTCCTCCTCATGCTCCCCCTTCTCTTGCTGCTCCGCTAGCTCCTCCATCTCCTCCATCTCCACCTGCTCCTCCTTCTCTTGCTGACCCTCTTGCTGCTTCCTTGCCTGCCTCCTCCTTCAGTGTGTCTGTCTTGCTTGTTCTTCTCCTGCTCCTCCTGCATCTCCTCGCTTCATCTCTCTGCAGCAAGTGTGCTCCTGCTGATCCCGTGTAGGCGCTCATGGACACGACCTACCTGGACCCGCAGGTGAGGAAGGAGAAGAGCATGAAAGAGAGCAGGAGGAAGAGACTGCGGCGGGGCCGTTGATACCAACGATACGGCTGGATGAGTCGAGATCGCTGAGTAGACAGAGGAGGAGGATGGAGAAGGCAGAGGAGGAGGAGAAGCGGGAGGAGGAGGATCGAATCAGAGTTGACAGTCGATGTAACAGGTGCGGCTTGTCTGCTACCTTGGGAAGAGATTTGCTGGCGTTCGTCATGTGTATTGTCGGCCAGAGCCAGAGAAAGAGGTTGAGCGCTGGTCAACGTCAGAATGACATGATGAGAGGAGGAGAGAGAAAACAAGCAAGAGACTGGAAGCATCATGAAATGATTTACAAGAAAACAAACTTAGCATGTCAACATCTACGTCTTCAAACGTGTCCTGACAGCAGCTCACTGGCTTTCTTCGCGACCTCTCCAAACACATCTATCAAGGTCGTCGTGACATCCGACCAGGCTGACTCCCCGCGTCTCTCGCTCGCGGCATCGCTGACTGTCTGCCTGTCGATGGCTGTGGAGGACAAGGTTGGCCGTTTCAGCCCTCTCCTCCCGCTGCTGCACTCCTCGATCGCCAGCGTATCCCAGCCGGCCTCCACGTCCAACTGATGGAAGACGAAGGAGACGGAGGAGGTGCCCGCTGGAGCGATGCTCCAAGAGCACGTCGTCGACGTCTGGTAGTTCCCTGGCCCATCCGTCACCATCCCCTGCAGGCTGTCGATCGCCCCTGTCCCTCCCCAGCTGCAGTCGTACACCCGCGTCGACCCCGCATAGATGGCCTTGAAGCCCTCGCGCCTCACCGAGTAGTCCGTCGACATCCTCACTCGCATGTACCCCGTCGAGCTCACAAGCGGCCCCGGCATCGTCGACCCCGTCAGGCTCGCAAGCTGCGTGGAGGAGGAGCAGGAGGCGTCGCTGCACTCGTCGACGTACACGTAGTCGTAGCCGTACTCCATGTCCAGCTGGGTGAAGACGAGGGTGACGCTCGAGGCGCCGGCGGGAGCCAAGATCCAGCTGCAGGAGGCGCTGTTGCTGTAGAGCCCGACCCCGTCGGAGAGACCGCCGTAGTCGGCTTGGAGGGCGACGGCGGCGGAGGAGGCGCAGGCGTCAGCGTTGTAGGAGGGCTCAGGGCCCCAGCGAGCAAGGAAGCCTTGGTAGGTGATGCTGGCGTCACTGGTGAAGGTGAGCTGGACGGGGCTGCTGGCCGTGAAGGGAGTAGGAAGACTGTAACCGGTGAAGGGGCTGCCGGGTACAGCAGAGTAGGAGGAGCAGGTCGACGGAGGAGGAGGAGAAGGAGGAGAAGGAGAAGGAGGAGGAGGAGGAGATTGTCCACCCGCCGCGCAAGCAAGAATAGACACTTGGGAGCTGACAGCAGCGTTGAGGTCGAACTGATGGAACACGAAGGAGACGGAGGAGGTGCCCGCTGGAGCGATGCTCCAAGAGCACGTCGTCGATGTTTGTGAGTTTGCTGCAGCATGACGTATCATCCCCTGCAGGCTGTCGATCGCCCCTGTCCCTCCCCAGCTGCAGTCGTACACCCGCGTCGACCCCGCATAGATGGCCTTGAAGCCCTCGCGCCTCACCGAGTAGTCCGTCGACATCCTCACTCGCATGTACCCCGTCGAGCTCACAAGCGGCCCCGGCATCGTCGACCCCGTCAGGCTCGCCAGCTGCGTGGAGGAGGCGCAGGAGGCGTCGCTGCACTCGTCGACGTACACGTAGTCGTAGCCGTACTCCATGTCCAGCTGGGTGAAGACGAGGGTGACGCTCGAGGCGCCGGCGGGAGCCAAGATCCAGCTGCAGGAGGCGCTGTTGCTGTAGAGCCCGACCCCGTCGGAGAGACCGCCGTAGTCGGCTTGGAGGGCGACGGCGGCGGAGGAGGCGCAGGCGTCAGCGTTGTAGGAGGGCTCAGGGCCCCAGCGAGCAAGGAAGCCTTGGTAGGTGATGCTGGCGTCACTGGTGAAGGTGAGCTGGACGGGGCTGCTGGCCGTGAAGGGAGTAGGAAGACTGTAACCGGTGAAGGGGCTGCCGGGTACAGCAGAGTAGGAGGAGCAGGTCGACGGAGGAGGAGGAGGAGGAGAAGAAGATGGCGGCGGCGACGTAGTAGGAGGAGGAGATTGTCCACCCGCGGAGCACGAGAAGAACGATACTTGGGAGCTGACAGCAGCGTTGAGGTAGAGAACACGAGCGGAAGGCAGCGACGTTGATGACTCAATGGTCCAAACGCATGACGCTCCTCCGATGTTTCTCATCAGCCCCTGCAGGCTGTCGATCGCCCCTGTCCCTCCCCAGCTGCAGTCGTACACCCGCGTCGACCCCGCATAGATGGCCTTGAAGCCCTCGCGCCTCACCGAGTAGTCCGTCGACATCCTCACTCGCATGTACCCCGTCGAGCTCACAAGCGGCCCCGGCATCGTCGACCCCGTCAGGCTCGCCAGCTGCGTGGAGGAGGCGCAGGAGGCGTCGCTGCACTCGTCGACGTACACGTAGTCGTAGCCGTACTCCATGTCCAGCTGGGTGAAGACGAGGGTGACGCTCGAGGCGCCGGCGGGAGCCAAGATCCAGCTGCAGGAGGCGCTGTTGCTGTAGAGCCCGACCCCGTCGGAGAGACCGCCGTAGTCGGCTTGGAGGGCGACGGCGGCGGAGGAGGCGCAGGCGTCAGCGTTGTAGGAGGGCTCAGGGCCCCAGCGAGCAAGGAAGCTTGCTTGAGCATCGGAGGTGAGGGAGACCTTGAGGATGCTGGTAGAGGAAGTGATGAGCGGTATCGTCGACGTGCTTGAGTAGGGGCTGCCGCTTATGATCGAGCAAGTCATGCCCGAGCTCGGGGGCGTCGTAGGCGCAGGGCTGGTAGTAGGAGCTGGGCTGGTAGTAGGAGCTGGGCTTGTGGTAGGAGCACGGCTGGTAGTAGGAGCTGGGCTGGTAGTAGGAGCTGGGCTTGTGGTAGGAGCACGGCTGGTAGTAGGAGCTGGGCTTGTGGTAGGAGCTGGGCTGGTAGTAGGCGCTGGGCTTGTGGTGGGAGCACGGCTGGTAGTAGGCGCTGGGCTTGTGGTGGGAGCACGGCTGGTTGTCGGTGCTGGGCTTGTGGTGGGAGCACGGCTGGTGGACGAGGGGGGGATACACTGTCCGAGGTACAAGCGATCGAAGTTCTGCTCGATGTTCATCTCGAGGAAGGTGAGGCGGAGGCTGGAGGAGGAGGGAGGCTGAACCACAAACGAGCAGCGCAGGTTGTTGCCGTAGGCGCCGATCCCGTCGGAGAGGAGGCCGAAGCTCTCTTGCACCAGCCCGCTGCTGGAGCAGTCGTGGAGGCGAGTGAGGAAGACAGCTCTGAAGCCCGGCGCTGTGACTGAGCCGTCGGAAGTGAAGACAACCTTCATGATGCCCGTGGAGGAGACGAGGAGGTCGGGGACGGCAGCCCCTGTGAACGGGCTTCCCTGCACCTGCACCGGAGAGGAGCAGGCGGCGGTAGAGCACTCGTAGACGTACACGAAGTCCCATCCGTTCTCCACGTTGAAGTCGAGGAACTTGAGGTAGACCTGCTGGGCAAGAGGAGGGGCGAGGATCCAAGTCTTGACCCAGTTGTTGTCGTAGTTCCCGTCCCCATCGGTCACGATCCCCTCAGATGCTAACAGCGTCGCCACCTGGTTGCTCGTCCCGTTGCTGGACGGCAGCGACGAGGAGTCGCCGAACATGGCCAAGAAGCCCTTGCCCCCGATGCTTCCGTCCGAGACGAACTCGACCACGACGGGAGTCGGTCGGAGAGCAGCAGCAGGAGGCGTCGTGCCGGAGTAGGGGCTGCCAGAGTCGTAGGTGACTTGCTGGCAGACGGACGGGCTGATGAGGGGAGGAGCTGGGACACTGCAGTCCTGTCCTTGGAAGCCGATGTCGCAGGAGCAGGTGCCGAGCTTGCAGGTTCCATGTGACGAGCAGCCGTTGGGGCAAGTGAGGGCTGGGCAAGTCACCTCCTCCACGTCCCCCGTGACCACCAGCGAGAACTTCTGCGAGCTCCCTTGGATGTCGAGCCCTTCCACCATCACTCGGTACATGCCGCCCGTAGCGTTGGAGATGGTGACCTGCTCGCAGTTGTTGGCGTCGTCCTTGACCGGGTTGCCGCTGCTCGTGAGGTTGTTGCCGAACAAGATCCTCCTGCTCGGGTCCTGCACCATGAGGTTCAAGTCGTGCATCAGCGTCCGCTGGCTCCCGACAGGAGCAGGAGGATCCGTCCAGACGAGGGAGGCGCGGAAGACAAGGGAGGAGGGGCGGCTGGGGGCGAGGAAGCAGAAGTGTCTGGTCTGCTGGTCCTCGACGACCTCCCGGTCATGCACCTTGAGCTTGAAGGGAGTGGAAGGGCCAAAGTAGAGGACGGACTCGAGGTCGACCCGTCCGAACCCTTGCGACACGTGAGGGAGCGAGGGAGGAAGCCTCCACGTCGACGACTCCGTGTACCACATGGGCTGACCCGCATGGATCATGATGGCCTTGACCAGCGACGCCGACGGCGCCATGGCGGCGGAAGCGTTGCGGGCCCCGGAGGAGAGGAAGCCTTCGCGGAAGTACTGACGCACTAGCGCTGACGCGCCTGCGCATGTCGGGGTGGCCATGGAGGTGCCGCTCATCTCGGCGATGGAGCACTGGAAGGAGGTCAGGGTCCCGTCCGAGTAGGCCGACCGGATGCTCTCTCCCGGGCACACGATGTCCGGCTTGAACCGTCCGTCCGGAGTTGGCCCGCGGGAGGAGAAGTCGACGAGGCCAGTCCTCTGCTTGTCATGCGCCGTCCCCGTGTATCCGTCGTAGTCTTGGTAGGCAGCGAGCGTGTTGGCTCCTGCTCCCACTGCCAGGATGTTCTTAGCCGTGGCGGGGGAGCCGATGGTTCCTGCTCCTGGCCCAGAGTTACCGGCAGCCACGAGGATGAGGAAGTCGTCGTGGTCGAAGATGAACTGATCCATCTCCTGCGCCGTGCTGGTGTAGGCCGAGGTCGACGACCCCCATGAGTTGGAGTGCAGGTTGGCCCCGACGGCGAAGGCATGAGGGAACAAGTCCGTGTTGAGGTCGTCGGGGAGCCACAGGCTGCTGCCGTCAGAGGAGATGTCGTCGAATGAGAGCTTTGCTTCCGGCGCTCCTCCGTTGTAGGAGACGGTGTAGTCGCTGGACAGAGAGTTGCCCAGGATCGAGCCGACGACATGTGTTCCATGGCCGTAGGAGGTGTCGCCCACGTTGGTGGAGGCGAAGTAGCGGTAGGAGACGATCTTCCTATGGTTCATGTTGACGCAGTTTGCGGGGGCTCCCAGGCCCTGACACGTCTTCACCTGCTGGTTGGGGTCCTGGAAGAAACAGCTGTCGTAGTCCACCCCAGTGTCCGCGCACCCGACGATCTCGCCGGAGCCCAGCAGGCCCTGGCTCCAGAGCTTGTTTTGCGTTCCATCATTGGACTGCACGGCCATGGACTAGGTGGGCAAGTCAGGAGCAGGAGGGAGGAAGCAGCTGCACTCACCGCATACTTGTTGTTGATGATGAAAGTCGGCCGCTCCTCGATACAGACCACCAGCGGCTGCTCTGCCAGCCAGGCCCACACAGCGTCTTCCTGTGCGACGTCCACAACCACCACCACCTTGCTCGTGCTGGCCCATCGCATGGTGAAGGAGGAAGGAGGTACAACCTTGCGGAGATCTCGCTGCCATGACATCAGCGTGCTCGCAAACGTTCCTCGCGTCTCGTTCGTCACTGCCACTTGCACGTCCAACGTGGCCGTGGCCCCTGCCGCCGCTCTGACCTGAGCAGCACGAGACGCTGTCTTGGCCTCCGCCGGCATAGCAAACACGCCCTCGACCCCCCGGAGGGAATGGACGGCCTCTGCGTGCGCGGCATCGAGCGCCATGAGGTAGGTGTCGTGAGGATAGTACTGCATGTACTTGCCCGCCGCGATCGACCTCAAGCTGGCGACCACTGCTCTGGGGTCGGACACCCGAACAACGTAGAGGCTCAAGCTAGAGGATATGGAGCGAGTAGAGCTCTTGGACTTGTCATCGAAGACAAGCTTCCTCAAAGGAACGTCCTTCATGTTTAGAACGTGCCATGGGCGGCCAGTAAGCCTCTTGACACTAAGATCATCATCCCGGTTGCTTGCTTTCCCCCAGCACGAGGAGAGCAGAAATGACACGAGAAAGATCAGACACTTCGTCTCAGACGGCGGCATGGAGTCTCAAAGGAGGACACGCTCGTCGTATCAGGTAGAAGTTCCAGAACCGCTTGGGATAGACGCGACCGAGAGGAATGCGACGACCTAGACAGCAGCGATGCAAGCAGATGGGAACAGGAAGAAAGACAAAAGAGGGGAGGAAGGGGAGGGAGACGGGAGGGTGGCAGGGAGAGGGGGTGCGAGAGTGCGAGGGGAGAGTTCGAGGATAGATTGTTATGAGGAGCTGAGATTGACGAGGTCACGGTCATCCTTATCCTAACCGACCAACAACGGATCCAACATCTGATCGCCTCATTTAGCCAATCCAGTACCCCCCACCCCGCGTGAACTAGAGTGAGCCACCCGTACAGTAACGGCTCTCTGACTTCTTGAGGGAGGGCCTACAGACTGTTGTTAACTTCGGAAGTTAACTTCTGACTCCTTCGACCGTCTCTCCGCGCTCACCTCGGGTAGCGAGTGACCGTTCGACTCCCCAGAGGTCAACAGCAGCGTCACACCCCCCACCCCCCGGTCCCTCTGGGAGAACCACTGGGACCTACCGGGTGACTTGGCTACTAGCGTGAGCTTGAACTTTGGAAGTTAAAAACTACAAGGCGTACGGTATGGGCCGTACCGACGGTAGTAACTTTCGGCCTTATCCGTCAACGTACGGTTGAGTAGTAATGACACATTACAATGGGAAAAAAATACCTGTTTGCAAAAAAAAAGTTTAAAAAAATTGGCTAGTGAGTAAAGAGTGGATTCCCGGGCCCGGCGGCATCAAACTGATGAAGTAATCGGGATCAGGCTGATCTCCAGCCGCGCGACCTTGCTCGGTTCGAGTGGCGGCATCATGCCATGACTCAGATGATATGTCAGATGATCATGCCATGACTCAGATGATAGGTCAGATGATCCGGAAGGGACTCCCAGAGAATGGAACCGTTGAAACACAAGCTTCAAAGCCAGGCTTCGATGTGATTTAAAAATCATACGAGGACAATCAGGAGAGTAGAGGAGGCTTGACACTGACATTGTCGTACAGGCCAGCGAGAAGAGAGAAGACAGCAAGAACCAAGGGCCCTCATCCTGCCGACTGCTGTCCCTGCGCGCAGTTAAGTGACTCAGTGAAGGTATCAGTTGAGTTTGGAGACCAGTCCCCCGGCCCAGCCCACTAAACGCTTAAAATGCAATCGTCTCTGGCCTGAGAGGCCTGAGGCCAGATCACTGACACCGTCACAGCGAACAGCTTCACGCCGTGACGCTTCAAAAGATACGTAGCAGGCTTGTGGGCTGGCCGCGACAAAGGGGACAAGGTCTGGCTTCGCTTCCTTGCTTGCAGTTCCCACATAGACACAAGTGTCCACAAGGCGATAGCGCCCAGATTGCAGGGTCTGTCTGGCAGACCACACACACTTTAGCTTCTTCACTTGCAAGCTGCACGGATATCATCTTCTCCTCAACGACTGCTTCATCGTATTGCAGCAGGAGCAATCTTTGGAGTTCCTTGAACGTAGGGCGATCCTTCCTCGTATCTTGCCAGCATTTCTGCATGATCGCATAAATTCCAGCTGGACAATTATCAGGGTTTGCAAGTCGTTCACCATCGACGATCTTTGACCCAACAGTGCAATCGTCGGTTACACTCCCATAAGGCATCATCGCATAGCTCCAGATCTCCCACATGGTAACGCCGAACGCCCAAACGTCGCTCTGCTCCGAGTATAGCCTTCGTTGAATGCTCTCGGGCGCCATCCACCTGATAGGGCGAGCTGTGCTCCCTGCCATCGACCCGCCATTGGTGTTGCAGTACCCACAATTAGATAAGATCGAAAGACCGTAATCTGCTATCTTGACCTGAACGTCAAGATGATTCATTGAATCCATGCAGAACACCAATACGTTTCTGGCCGCCAAATCACGATGCACCACATTGTGAAGGGCGAGTTGTACCATCCCATCACAGATTTGGCGAGCAATCAATATCTTGTGCAGTGCACTGATCGTGTTCCTGGACTCCCACAGCTTTAGGAGCATGGACTTCAAGGACCCATGGCATGCGAACTCGGTGACCAAACAGTAATCTCCAGAGGCTGGCTCTTTGGTGATCGCAAGCAGCCTGAGAAGGTTCGGGTGAAGACCAAGCTCGCATGTGACGTTGAGTTCCTGCTGGAACGCGTCTCGGAGATAAGATCCACTTCCTTTGATTTGTAGAACAGCTACAGACGACGTATCTCCGTTGGAGCGATTCCAAGTTGCACGATAGACGGACTTGAAGGACCCACTTGAGTCAAATTCTTCGAGACCTTTGAAGTTGTTAAAGTTTTCTTCAAAGACCTCTCCTTGCATCGTTTGCAAGCATACTTGCCATAGCTAGTCCAACCATGCTTCTTAGCACAGTTACAGCAGTAATCTCGTCCTCCGAAGTACCTTCCCCATCCATACCTCGATTCCTGTGCTCTATCGGCACATTTAGAGGGGTCATGTGTGTCTTGAACAACAGAAATGCCGCAATCGGGACATGCCCATGCCAGCTTGTTGATGTAGAATCTTGCTTTGCATTGTTCACAAGCGACGTCTACGATTCCTGTTCCTTAAAACTGACTCCGACGTATCAGTTTTACGGTTTTACGTATCATTATGGATTGGCCGGGCCGCCGGGCCGGCCCGGGCCCCGGGAGTAGGATCGAGGCACAAGGCGCTTGCGGTGGGATTGAGGGAGAAGGGAGGGAGGGGCAGAGAAACAGAGAAGAGGCAAGACAGAAATATAGAGATGAAGATATAGAAAGTGAAAGAGATCGAGGTAGAGGTAGTGGTAGAGGTAGAGGTAGAGGTAGAGGTAGAGGTAGAGGTAGAGGTAGAGGTAGAGGTAGAGGTAGAGGTAGAGGTAGAGGTAGAGCCAGAGATAGAGGTAGAGCCAGAGATAGAGGTAGAGGTAGAGGTAGAGATAGAGGTAGAGGTAGAGATAGAGATAGAGATAGAGAAAGTGAAGAGGTAGAGGTAGAGATAGAGATAGAGATAGAGAAAGTGAAGAGGTAGAGGTAGAGGTAGAGGTAGAGATCGAGGTAGAGGTAGAGGTAGAGATAGAGAAAGTGAAAGTCAAAGAGATCAGATCAGATCAGATCGAGATCGAGGAAGAGAAAGTGGAAGAAATCGAGGTAGAGGTAGAGGTAGAGATCGAGGTAGAGGTAGAGGTAGAGGTAGAGATAAGGAAAGTGAAAGAGATCGAGGTAAAGATCGAGACTGAGAAAGTGAAAGAGATAGCGATAATGATAGCGATAGAGATAGAGGTAGAGGTGGAGATAAAGAGAAAGAGAGAAAGAGAAGGGGGGGGGAGGAGCACGCGTTACATGGGATGGATTCAACAAACGATTGGAGACTGAAAATTTCCTTGACAGGAGATTTCAACTTGCCGCGATGAAGTCGCCAACTCTCCTCCTGGCGATTGTTCTGTCGAATCTCCATCTCTCCTCATGCTTCTCTCTCTCGTCCTCCGCTCTCCACGCAGCATGCAGAAATCCGCGATGCAGTTCGCTCTGCCGGCTCAGCATGCAGAGCTGGGCTGAGTCCGCTTCAATGCAGAGGCGCTCCTTCTTGGCATCAGCAGCCAGTGCTGGCCTCTTGCTGGTCTCTGCTCCTCCTCGCTCGGGTGCTGAGGGACTGGTGGGCACAGTGACGGTGGTGGGAGCCGACAGCTACGTGGGGGGGGATGTGCTAAGGATGCTGCTGAAGCAGAAGGTGCCCGTCACAGCATGCGTCTCTCCGACCTCCAGCATCAGCATCCCTGGTGACTCGAAGCTCCTGACCGTCAGCAAGTGCGACCTCATGGATGAAAAGGAGGTGAGCGAGGTAGTCAGGAACTCAGGGACTGTCATCTATGCCGTCGAGCCCCGGTTCCGTGCTCCGCAGCAGGAGGCGGTCGACCTCAAGGAGGCAGCGGATCGTCCAGAAGGATCGAGCATGGAAGTGACGGGGCTGAGCAACGTGGCCAAGGCGTGCCTGGATCAAGACGTAGAGGACAAGAGAATGAGAGGGATGAGACTTACTTGGTTGTGTAGGTGAAGAAACTGGTGGTTCTGAGCTCTGTGTGCGGGAAGTGCCGCAACCAGCAGCAGGAGCAGGTATCGAAATTCTTTCTCTCCTACTGCACCTCTGTGGATGATGTGGATGCAGGGCGGAGGATCTGGAGGAGGGAGGTGTGAGGTCTGCGGAAGGATTGAGAAGGGAGAGAACGCAGTGCAGGAGCTGTATGCAGCTGACAAGGGAGCGGCAAGGAGCTACGTGATCGTGAGAGCAGGGCAGCTTTCGTTCGGGGAGAGGAGGGGGCCGAGAGAGGTGGAGTTGAACCAGGGGCTGATGAAGAACGGGGTGATCTCCCGGCTGGATGTAGCTGAAGTCCTGGTGGCATCAGCCATGGGGGACAAGGTCAGGGACGTCTCCTTCGAGTGCTACTACAGGGACACGGCAGAGCCTGTCGACATCTACTCGAGCTTGCAGTCGTGCAGGAGCATGGGAAAGACGACGCGCGAGTGTTTCTTCGGGGACGCAGTGGACAACAAGAGCCCGCTGTCTCTCGATGACGTGCTTCAGATGCCACTCCAGGGAAGCCTCTTTCCCACCGGCCGAGAAGTCGTAGGGTTGGACTACTCCAGCATGCTCTCCCAGCTGACCCCCGACAACGCCGTCCCGTTTGACATCGATTCGATTAGGTACGAGTCAGCGTGAGCTAGTCTAACTCTGTTCGTTCATGTACACTCGTCCTGCTAAGCATAGATGAAGTCCCCGCTCTTGTCTCTCTCCCTCCCTCGTGTCCGCTCTGCCTCTACGTCATGCTGCAAGCTCCTCACAGACCTCGTGAAGGATCGGATGTCATGGTTTCTCCGCTGGATCGTTGACTGTAGCATTTGAAGGTTCTCGAAAATGTCGTGACCCCCCGACGCCCGCGAGTCTTCCATGCTCCATCCCTCGTTTCCCACCCGACCGTCCATGCTGAGAGGCTCAAAGAGCTTGTCAAGCAGCGAGAGATCTCCCTTGGCTACCGAGTGCTCCTCCTCCTCCTCCTCCTCCTCCTCCATGTCAGACGCCTGGAGGATCTTGTAACTCTCCGGGGAGAAGCCGGCGAAGTAAGCCAAGGGCTCATCTTCTCGCTCTCCGAGAGCCGATGAGTGTCTCAAGGCCGACAGGTCGTTGGCTGTTCGCGAAGGGTCGAGGTGGGAGCTGAGGCTTCTGTTGTGCAAGGAGCTCATCCTCATCGGCGAGCTCATCGCCTGCTGGGCGTGGATCGTCCCCGACAACATCTCAAGCCCATACTCCAGCTTCGCCTCCCTGAGCCACCCGACGATCTCCTGAGCGAGCTCGAGCGGCGATCTCTGCCTGCTTGACCTGCTCGCCAGGCACCTCAGGACGAGAGAGGCCGTCGACTCCTGCAGCGAGACCAGCTCCACTCGCTTGGGGGAGGTGTCCACTGCCTGGCATAGCGTCTCCTTCACCCATACCTCCCAGAAGCGGAGGTTTCTTCTACCTCCCGCCCAGCCCTCGTCATGCTTGAACAAGAGCGACACAACGACGGCTCCTTCGGCACTCAGGTCGTGAGCTGCCGGCATGAGCCTTGACGGTGACGCTGGAGATGTCTTGAGCTCTGAGGGAGACCGCTGGGGCTGTGGAGCAGAGGAGGGGACGGCGATAGCACTCTGCACGCTCTCCGGGAGCTTGTGGAGGATCTCCTTGCGCCTCTCGGCCGTCAGGAGGCCGAGGAGTCCCTCGATCGTCTCCTTCTGCTCGCTCTTGAGGATCTGCGAGCACGCCTCCAAGTTCATCTGGGACAGCAGGGGGATGCGGGAGGCGGCGGGGAGAAGGCCGACGAGGCTCTTGGCGTCTCGTGGCGGCACATGCTGGATGACTTGCAGCTGGGCAGCAGGGGTGAGCTCCGTGAAGCAGCCCTCCATGTCCTCTGACGTCAGGCACTTGAGCATGGCAAGGAACCGGCTGCCCTCCGTGCCATTGAGGATCGAGGCCCTCGATGAGCCCGGCAGCAGGCGGACTATCCTGGTGCGGAGGCGGAGGGAGGCCAACTCGATCACCTCCTGCAGCAGAGACCTCGGCAGGTCACGGGCCATCAGGCTCAGGTCGTTATCTTGCACGTGCTGCAGGGTCTCGACGACCTTCCTTGGGCTCATGTCGCTCAGGATCCGAACTGAGTCCTCGATCTCCATGCTGCACATGATCTCAGCCCTCTGCCTCGCTGGAACCGCTTCCAGCACCACCACACATTCCTCCGTCGTCATGTTGAGGAAGCAGTTGACGCTAGTGGCAGGGCTCAGGTGCTTCAAGATGGCGACGGCGTCGGGGAGAGGCAGCGAGCTGAGAACGTGGGAGGCTTCATCAGCCTGCATCCTCTCGATGATCGCGACCCTCTCCTTCTCCGGCAGGGCGACAAGGAGGATCGCTCGTTTGTTGGGAACGATCTCCACCAGCCCCTCCACCGCCCTGTCGGTGTTCATGATGCGCAGCGAGTTGGCGCTGTCCTCTAGGGTCAGGTTGTCCAGCACCTCCGCTCGCTCGATGGGGTCCATCCACTCCAGCAGCGCCGTCCTCTCCGTCGTCGAGACCTTGGAGAGGACGGAGAGCTTGAGGGGATCCCCCATCTCCCTCAGGGTCGTGTAGGCGACCTCCGTCCCGAGACTCATGAGCATAGCGAGGGCGTCGAGATCGTATCCCGCCTGAGAGGATCTGAGCGAGTTGCCTTGCTGCTTGAAGATGAGCTGACGGAAGACCAGCGATCGGACACCGTCGGGAAGCATCGACAGCACCTGACATCTTACCTGCCTGCTGATCAGAGGGATCACGGCAAGACAGTCTTCGATGCCCATCTCCATCAGGACCAACTTGAGCTGCTCGGGCTTCAGAAGCCTCAACACGTTCTCTTGATCGATCCCTGAGAGCCCGCAGATCAGCTCAGCCAGCTCGACGGGGTTCATAGCAGACAGCACATCGGCATCGTATGCTCGCTGCAGCTGATTGAAGGTGTTCCTGAAAGCCTTCTTGTCGAAGCTCTTCAAGATGGAAACTTTCTCCTGCGTGTCAAGGGACGACAACAGCGCCAGCCGCTTGTCGCCATCGAGTTCCAGCACGAGCTCGGTGCGGTAGGGGTCAGGGATCTGGTTGCAGACCTCGACCTGATCGTACAAGTCCATCTCCTGCAGCGCCTGCGCGAGGATACTCCGGTCGAGCACTTTGATGAGAGAGAGGAATTCTCTCTTGTCAAACGTCTTCGTCACTTCGACCTTGAGGGCTGTCGGAAGGTGCTGGAGCAGAGAAATGCGTTTTGCCGCAGAAAGCCTTTCGACTGCTTCCTTGTGGTGCTCGTAGTTGAGCTCGCTAAGCAGAGGTCCCAGCGTTGAGGGTCGGAGCACGTCGAAGAGGAAGCAGACAGCTTCTGAAGACAAGTCCGTCATGAGCGCTACCTGACTCGACTGTGGCAGGTGATCGACCAGATGTTGGACCTCTCGCTCGGACATGGCCAGAAGCACTTGAGATCGCAAGTCCTCCGGCAGCTCCAGCACGACGTCTTCCTGCATCCTCGTCGAGAACTGTTTGAGGAGGGTCCAGGCAGCCTTGGGTGGGTACAAGAGGAGCAGAGCGATGGCGTCCTGCACGCTGAGGTCTGAGATGAGTTGAGACCTGTACTTGATCGGAGCCATGTCCAAGATGTCTCGCTGACAGGGAAGGGGCAGCCTGGTGAACACCTCAGCGCGTTTATGTTTTTCCACCAACTCGAAGGTCTTGTAGGTGTCAGAACTTGTCATTTCAGTCAGTATGGCAGCAATCTGCTCTGCGTTCATGTACAGGAAAGTTTCTTCCTTCTCCTGACTAGAGAGCGAGTGGACAGCTTTTCTCATCTCAGGGAGCTCAAGGCCACTGATCGCATCCGCTCTGACATGTGGATGCAGCACTCTCACAAAGAACTTCGACTTCCTTGATTGGTTTGACGACAGGGACAAAGAGAGCAGAAACGAGATCTCTTGATGCGAAATGTGCTGATCTAGATGTGATCGTGCGCTTTCCGGGCAATCAATGTAGAAATCGATCTTGGCTGCATCATCCAGCATATTCCAAGTATGCATTGTGCTTCCTTCTTTCTTGATTGCCGACATGTCAAAGGACTGAACTAATCTTTCACTGCCTTCAAGGGCATGCTCCAACGTTGTATCCACCCTCTTCGACTTCACATGGCTTCTCAAATTCTTCGGAGGGGAAGCCTCCGCATCTGCTGCTCCGAGCTGCTGCCAGAAGTCCATCCTCTTCGTCAGTTTCTTGAGCGCAGTCAGCGTCGGGCTCTGATCATCGTCGTCTTGATCCTCTGACTTGTGGCGCGGAGTCTCGAAGCTGAACGACTCGTTCCCTCTAGTTGGAGGCTCAACCTCTCTTGACGATGCAAGACTATCTCCCATCTTATCCGCCACCATCTTCTTGAACTTCTTCGCCTTCTTTGACCTCATCATCATCGACACCTGGTTCTCCAGGCTGTTCGCTCCCGGCCCGGGTGATTTCCCGTTGTCAAACTGCAACCTCAGGGGCCTCATGCTATCCATTCGATCAGACGCTACCTTGTACAAGCTTTCGAGTCGAGCGGGGGGAACAGGAGGCAACGGCATCAACGCGCAGAGCTGGGGAGATGTTCCCAGGACTCATTGAGCATAAACCAGCAGATCAAATTCTCGTTTCCGGACATACTAACCAAACACAACTCTCGAGACCCGCGACGGCTTGCCTTGTGAACATGTTCCTATCAATCTTCCTTCACGGTTTCAACTCCCTGACATGCTCCTTCCTGCCTTCGCTTCTTCATCCTGAATCCAATGGAAGAATCCCCTGCAAGGTCTGGATCAGCAGTGACAGATCAGTTTGAAGTGAAGTCGCTCCAATCTCTCAATGGAACTGATTGCTTAAAGACTAGTCAATGTATCTAACAATCTCTCTCTCTCTCTTCTCTCCTCCACCAGCCAAGGCTGAGACTTGATGTCTGCTCACAGCTCCCTCTGCACATCTACTCGAAGATCTCATGCTCGGTGATGGTATCATTACTACTCATATGAATCCACCTCTTCCGCTGACATCATTGCTACCCATATGAATCCACCTCCCCTCCTGACGTCCTTTTCTCTTCCGGTCTGTTCCCAACCCATAATTCTCTACTTTCCTCTTGATGTCGATACTCTATCCTCTTTCTTTTCATCGCTCCGCACGGTACTTCACGTCCGTTTGCCCTTGAATGTTCATATCCCCTCATTCTATTTTCGCTCCTCTCCTTCCCCTCTCTCGGAACTATTATCTTACCACACCTTCTCTTGTCTCCCCTCCCTACAGCTTCTCTCCGCTTCACTTCTCTCCCCCTCCTCTGCCATCATTTCGGCCGCCATGCCTACAACGGTAACAATTATCACCACCCACCCCTCTCCCCTAGGGTCTTGTCCCTCGCACCACCCGGCCCCCAGTCCCTGCTCATACAGCCCGCATCCCGCCAATCTGCCCTTGTCGAATCGACTCTGACATGGCTGGAGGTCGTTAAGAATAGAATGAGAGCACGCTTCTGTCCTTGATATTTTACTAGTCTCTTTTCTGAGGCAAACTCGAATTTAATTGAAGATTGGTACTCACTACTATCTCACTAACTTGTCTTACTTGGTGCTGGTCGCAGCAGGCCCGGCAACTTTCAGTCATGGTCTCTTCATCCTCGCTGTCTTGGCCTGCCAACATTGACGGCGAGTCAAGATCAGATCATACTTCTACATCGCTACCTTCTCCTGCGACTCCTTCAACGGCACTGTATACCACTCCCCATCTGCCAGCTCGTCACCTCCTCCCTCTCCGCACAGTCTGTGTTGCCTGTAGTTCTCCTCCAAACGCTCGCTACCTTCCCTTTGGCCTTCTTGTAGCAGATGCCCGACCACACTATGGAGTTGTCCAGCATCGCGATCACGGCAGATGCTGCCACAAAACACGATGAGAGGCAACAAAACAAGAGAACAACGACAACATGACTGGAATGTGCATTGAGCTAGCAAAGCAAAGAAGAACTTAACCCAGAACCTGTCTGCACGTCAGGTTTTTCAGCCTTCAGAGCAGAGAGCAGACTGACAGAACGCTGTAGTGAGATGTGAGAGGAGGGAATTGCTTTCCATACACGCGCGAGCATGTTTTGATCAAGGTTTCGTTAGCCATGTAGATCGAGTGGATCCAGACGAGAGCGAAGGCTGAACCACAGCACGTGACTCTGATGTAACGGTAGCAGCAAGAGACTGAACCTGAGATGATGACATACAAGACATCTGGAGCGAGAGGGATCTGCACAGGTTGTAAGTCAAGAACGGTTCCCGCGCAGGCCGTTGCCGACCCAGCCGCAGCTCTGACGATTCAGGTGATAGGCCGAAAGACTGCAAAGGAAACATTCAACGGCAGAAGCAACGCAGCATGGATACGCTCACTGTCCCAGCAGCCAGCTCTTCCCTGCCCCAACGAGACTTGCCAAGATCAAGACCTTTGATATCACATGAGAGTCGTGCAGGCAGTGAGCTGAGAAGCATACCTGGAAGGTCAAGCAGCCTACCAACAAGACGATGATGCAGATGACTATCAAAAGGAACAAGTTGTTCATCTGGTCTCTCAGTCAGACGGAGAATGCTGGAGAGATGGCCGGGTATGAACACATCACCCGATCGAAGATATCACTGTAAGTGTCGCAAACCTTACCAATACACAAGTCATCTGTGAGTTCAACGTTGCAAACTCAGTGTCTTACAAACATCTGCCGTCGGATATAGTTCCAGTGGTTCCTGACCGAGTAATCTTCCTTCATCCTGCAATTTTTCAGTCTACTAGCTAGGAAGCCTTGCACAGATAAGTCATACATAGACGGTAATACAGCGACTGGGGGGATGAAAATCTTCTTGTTCACTTTGCTTGCTCGCCCAGCCATGATCATATCGTCGGAATATCCACAGTCCTTGCAAACGATCATCACAGGTTTACAGCATATCATCCATGGTATCACAAGTTCACAGCACGCCATCAATGTTTTACCTCCCAGGCCTGCAAGATTCCAACCTTGTCGTCGAAGAGATCTCTTGTCCTCAACAGGAGGCACCCTCCCCTTGGAGTACAATCAGAAGGTTCCCAAGAGGGAGGGATGGGCTGCCAGCGGAAACGATACACACCACAGGACCGTCGGGTACTTTTGGCCAAGAGCGATCACCGAGAGCATCCTGTACCTGCGCAATGTGTAAGAGGAGGAGCAGCGATCTCGTCCCGCTCACGCAAACAGCATGAAACCAGCAAAGGTCTTGGGATTCACTTCGAACGGCCAGCCGGATCTGACCCTCATCTCTCAGTCGCTGCTGACCCGCCGTCGCAACTCACGCTATGAGGACCTTGTCGTCCCTGTCCAGCACGTCCATGAGGCTGAGGAGGATCCTGCTGCCTGTTCATCGCTCCTTCCTCTCATGACAGCGATATGACGACCTTGACGACATCTGCGCGTCGTCGTCCAGGAACAACACATAGTTGCTCTCCTTGCTGATCTGCGAGACCCTGGGGTCCAACTTGAATCAGGTTGCTCGTCACGCGAAGCATGCATACCCTTCAAGGAGGTTGTGAATCTTCTGTGTGCAGTAGAAGGATAGTCCGCAGACAACCACGTTGACGTTCTTCAGATCCTTCTGCTCCTCCTTGAACTCCATCGCTGCCTTGTACGCCTGCTCAGCACGACCCGCGGGTCACATCACGTGTCAGCCCGTCTCACTCGCTTGCTCACAGGGTCCTGCGTGCTCTCCATGCAGAAGAAGTACTCGGTCTCACCCCCGTGATCCAGCTTGATCTTGACCATGCCGGTCAGGAGCCCCTCGAGCCCTCCCACCCACTCGTCACCTGCGTCCTCCAGTTGTCCAGAGTCTGTTCATGAACGCCTTTGACAGGCAGGATGACGGAGACCTGAACGGAAGCTCAGCCCCGGCGCCTCATGCCATGGAGGCGAACCTTATGTCCCTTCCGTGTCTTAGCATGGCTCGGCTCCTCCAGGGTCCAGGAGTTCATCCTCCGACACATCAAGTACCACCCGACCACGTAGACAACCGCCAGGCAGCTGCTCGCCAGCCACACCAGCTGTGCGCTTTCATGGCAGGCCAGATCGTCGATGAGCTCAAAGAGCATGGGCGCGGGACGAAGCAGAAAGGAGCTACCGCAGGAATCCACGGAGCAGGAGCAGGATCAGCCGGAGTAGTACCAATCCGAGCAGTAGCAGGAGTAGAAGGGGTAGGAGTAGGAGTAGGAGTAGGAGTAGGAGCAAGAGGACAGAAGGAGGAGAAGGACAGTAGCAAGAGAAGGGGGGGAGGGGTTGGGAGGAGGAGGAGGAGGAGGAGGAGGAGGAGGAGGAGTAGTAGAAGCTAGAGGACAGAATGAGGAGAACAACAGTAGCAAGAGAAGGGGGGAGGGGGTGGAAGGAGGAGG